AAGTAACTTTGAAATATCTTTCATACTTTCTAACTTTTTTTCTAGAAATTTCAACAATATTTTTTAAAGTTTCTTTGTCAACTGTATATTTTATTTTCTCAATTTTAATAATAATTTTATTCAACTGAGATATCCTAATAAATAATATGTATAAATGTATTACTATGAATGATTACTCAAAATCATAAAAAATTAAGATACAGAAATTTTTAGTTTAAACGTTCAATATTAAATCAAATAATTTCGAAATAAGTTGAAATTTTATAACATTCTATCGTAGATTATATATTAATAACAAAAGGAATTATTGTTACATCAACAACGTATTATTTACGTTATAATAAATATAAACAAAGAAAAAAGAAAAAGTACTTTGAATGAATGAAATTATCGTCCCATTTTATATAGCAGAAATGTTCAAATTTTTAAAATTTTTGAAAAAAGAAATTAAAAACACACAGATGTAAATTTTGGATCACAGAAATCTGAGCCCTGCTAACAATCGATCGACATATTCGCTGCATGTGTTACAAATAAATTTACATGCGTTTTATAACAAATACGTTTATAGAAAGATATCTAAACAGAATCACGCGTTCACGCATTCAGTCACGTTCATATAAAATTTTGCTATTTGATAGCCGAAACTTTGCATCCATCGAACCTGTGTACAAACAAGATTCAGACATTCATTCATTTTCCACGTATTCATTACACAAATTTATTGTTTATATTCAGAAACATATAGTTTATATTTTGATATTATCGAGCAAGAAGGAAACATTTTACCATCGCAGATATGCGTATAACAATTGAGTTTAAAACGATTTTACCTCTACAACCAAAATGAAATGCATTTGCTTCGTTTCTTTCGATTTATCATACATTTTGTGGTTGCTAGAGGTAATATCAGTTTGTAAGTAATATCAGTGCACAAAGAGAAAATTTTGAGCATCACTGCAAATCACGCTTCAAAAATTTTCTAATAATGTAAATTTTTGTCCTTTTCTGTTTTTTTTTTTTTTTTTTTTTAATCGTATATACTAACGAAATAATTTATTTCTCGAAAAATATCTATGAATTGACCAATGACTCTTCTTTTTTTATATACGTGCACACCGCATGTTACTGCCCATGGAGCTTACAAATTATTGCAAGTTTTAACATTACCTTGTCAGATAATAATACTAGACATAACAACAGTATATGTTTGATCTATTTTTATAAATAAACAATAATTTATACAAGTACAATTTTTAAGAAACGTATATATATATACATGTAATATATATATAATAGAAATTGAATATTTATTTTAACTAGATAATTTTGTCGCGACTTTAATTATTTGAATTAAAACAATACCTCATAATTAGTTAATAAATATTCAGAAATTAAATGATGCGAGGTCGAGCGACAACAAGAATTATGATTGCTTATTTATACCCTCATATTTATAACAATATCTAATTAGCAAATCTTTCACGCTCGTCTTTACACTTTGTTCAAACTTCTAGTATGTACGTAAGATTTACTCATATAACAAAGAATCTTTATAATACAATGTTGATTAGATAATCATTGGAACACAAGTGGTGATTTGTTAAATCAATGCACAACAATAAGATATAAATGCCATTTTATAATACATATTCATAATATGCAAATTATACTCATTATGAAGTAGATAAAATTATCTTACCCCATAGCTTTCAAGTAAGCCCCATAGGCAGATTATAAAATTTCGAAGAAAACTTATAGCAACAAAATAAAGCTAACTCGAATTTGAAATAACGGTGTGAGTTTGATTGACTATATATAAATTTTTTTTTTCACTACCCACGTTTATCACAGTCCACGCATGACTCGTTTTGTCTCTTAGTATTTTGAAGTCCTAAACGCCAACAACATTTGAGCAATCCTTCGGGTTGTTTAAATACAAAACACCCATCTAACCCATAAACACCACATGACTAGAACATCATAGAGCGCAAAGACAAAACCTGATCTACCGCTTAGAAAGCGAAGACATTTGTTTAGTCTAGCTTGCGTTGTTCGCATAACTCTTCTAAACCTCCAGTCTTTCTGCATAAAAATTATAACTCTTTATTTGATATCTCTAGTCATGTAACGAGGGTATACTTAAAATATAAACCATAAGAAATACTTACAATGATGGGAGATAGGGAGTACCCGTATGATCTAATCGATGTTTATCTTCATTTTTCCAGCTTGAGACAGGAATATGTGGAGGTGGCAGAAAACTTCTTAGCGACTGTATAAGCTGTATTGTATCCACCAGAGCTGTAACAAAATCAACACAAAGCATATACATTTTCTTTCCATCGATAAAAGATATTGACGAAATGTAGAAAGTAATCATAGGAGCACAATATCTCTAATACATCACACATCAATATAGTATTGTATAAAATATAATTAGTTTATAAGGGAAATTTATTTGTAAATCTAACGAAAATATTATATTAAAAGATAAAACATGGTAGATATTACGTATTTTATTACTTTTTTGCAAAGCTTCTGATTGTTTTCCATATGGTTTGCACATTGCAGGACGTACACAAGCTTTCATTCTTGCCATATTCTTCATAACTTCTGCAAAAGCTCTTACTATCTTTTCTTGTCCTCCTACAAAATAATTAAAAAAAATAATCATTTTTTAAGACATGAAGGTGCACAATACAAAGCGAGTGATGCCTGATACCAATACTTTGGCACAATTTGCAGAATGCACATCCTCACTTAAGTGTTCCCGCTTAAGTGGAGACTACTGTGACAAAGTGACAGAATGAATTGCCCGAATGTGACTAACTCTAAATCTAAATGTAAGATAATAATACTGATGTATATAAAATTATTGTAAAATATTTCCTTAACCATTAGGACCAATGTAATTTAACATCTTTTTACTTAAAAATTTAATATTCTTTTGATTTATAATGGTAAATATAAAAATATAAAAATATATGGTCCAATTAAAAAAAATAAAGATAAGCTTGGAAATTTCGAAACCTCTCAACACACAAAAAACTCCATATTTTGTCTCCCTTAAAATCATACAACTTTTGTATTAAAACAATTTTTCATTAGACGCAATAATTTAAAAGTTATTTCAAATATGCAACATATTACACGAATCATCCTGTATAATTTACTAACCTTCTGAATTTGAAGATGCCCGAGATCCTTTCTCATTTTCTAATGGCCAAGCTCCATTATGTAAAGCTAATAAATCCTTATTTGCATTTCCTATCCCTTGTAAATTTCCCAAACCAAGCCCACTGAGATTGTCCAAGTTATCTAAATTCGTTCTTAAAAAGTCTGTTAATTTGTGATCAGACATTGGAATATTAGGTATTAAGGATTCATAATGTTGCTTCCCAGTGGCTACTTTTTTTTCTTGTGACACAGGTCTATGTGGAATATTTAATGACGGACGGCTTGGAGGACGTTGAAGATTCATTTGGTTCCCAGCACTTCTCATTTCTGCCAAATCTGCTGTTGATCCTCCTCCCATGTGAGTATTTGGATTAGCACTGCTTAAAGTCTATAATATAAAAGATAACTGATTTATAAATGTAACTGATTTATAAATATGTAGAAATTTATGTTTCTAAAATCTTATAAATTATGCTTACTGCTTGAAAATCTGTATTATGAGGGAAACTACTACGTAAGAGAGAAGCTGTTGTTTCATTTTCTTGAATATAAGTTGGTGCCATATGTCCCATTTTTTGAGTTAATTCAAGCTGATTTTTGTAATAACGGCAAGCAGGATTTGGACAATTTTGTACCACCTCTATTATAAATTCTTTTTCCATACCAAAACATTCTCGTCCAATAGTGTATGATTCCATAACAGCTCTAACTGTCCCTTCTAAGCCCAAATGTAGACCATGTGGACCATTCATATGCTTTAACATCACAGCATTTGCAAAGTGTTCATAGGGCAATATTATTTTTCCATTTTCTCTAAGCACTAGCCTTCCCTGAGAGTCCAGAGCTATTCTTGATGCCATCATCCTATTTATACATTACAGGATATAATAAGAGAATTGTAAATTCTACATAAGTAGTTACATTTTACAGAAAAATTAATAAATAGTCTATATGTAAACATGTTGCACAATGTAATATGTTAACACATGAAGATAAAAGACAATATTCTTACTGCAAATAGGCAGCACTTGGTATCATAGATGCATCTTTGAATTCAGAAAAACATTGCAGCAGTTCGATGCTTGGATTCCAACCTTTGTTTTGAAGATAGGCTTGTAGTAACATATACATCTTTTCAGTAACATAACCAGCACTACTTGGTGTACCAGGGTAACCAGATCCTCCACCTGGTGGTCCCATTTCGGTTTGCATACCTTTGGCAACAATGTTTTTCATAGTTTCTGCCAAGTCCATCCTGTACAAATAAAATTGTCTATTTCAGTGTTTCAAGAATTAAAAACAAAAAAAAAAAAACAAAGAAGAAAGAAAAGAATTCATAACTAAAGTCTAGAATTAAAGAATGTGAGAGCATGCCATAATCATAAAACTAAGTAAATTGAACTGAATTGCCAAAGTTACGTGTAATATAATTTCCAATTTTTTCGTAAGCGGTAACATGATTTTAATTCACAGAAAATCTTCGTTAATCTCACAAGATCAACTTACAAAATTATCGTACACATTGAACAATCGTAGAAAACTAGTTGAAAGTATTAAGATGCACAGTAGCCGTACCGATGCTAATTGACACATGTAATAAAAAAGGGTCAGGAAAATGTGTGTAGGTTGCCAGGGTAGCAAGCTTGGCATTTTAAAAATCCATGCATATTCGAATCCTCCGGCCATTGTTATTTTCGGGATGAAGACGTCTAAAGAAACGATAAAAAAACACTGATGCGAGCCACCGCCCCCCTTTTTAAAAGCGGGGGGAATGAATTTTTGGACACTCACCCCGTACCGAGCACGACTTTCACTCACTCGAAGTGTAACCGGGAACACTACAGGGCCCGTTTATCACCCTAATCGCCGTTACTTGGCATACCCTCATTAATGATTCTCCTCACATTTACAAATAACATAAATCGTGATAATTATTTCCGCAAGGATTGTTTGCGCGGTTGGCCGCCAGAGGCGCATTGCCTTCACAATTTTTACTGTGTCCACGTATGTATGCACCTACAGCAATTTCAGCGCTTACGCGACGCTACTTCGCGCATTTATCAATATTACTTTTTGCAATTGATATCGCACGACGGTTCTCCAATTTTTCCTATCGATTTAACGAAAAACCACATATTCTATTACTTTTATTTACTACTAGTTCTATTACTTTTATTTTAATTATTATTTTAATTGCAGCGAAACATTTAATTTTCTTTATGTTTGATGACATTTTCTCATATGTGTGATACACACACGCGCGCGCGCACACACACACACACACACACACACACATATGTATGTATTGTATGTAATTAAAATGTATAATTATATTTTCCAAAGTAAAGCAATTGTTTTATATTTTTCGCATGTTAAAGCCACGAACGATTGAATATCGAGATGTAGTACAAACAAGATTGAAATATAATTGATACATTTATATATTTTATTAGAAATTTAGATATTAAACGACGTATTAATATTGTCCACGATACTTTCTTTTGACCCAGAAATATAACAAATAACGTTATTGTACACTGACTATTTTACGTTATCTATGGAAAATTATTTTCTATTTATAGAATTGTAGCTGCAAATACTAATTGTCAATTGTTTAATTATTAATGAAAGCTATAAATTAAATTACACGTGCAGTTAATATAGCGAAAAGTGAACTTGAATTTTCAAAATTATAATGATGTACCATATTCCTTTGAAACATGTGCACATAAAGTCGAACATTTGTAAAACATACGCAATTGCTTATGTACGATTTAGATTCTAAAGTCAATCATATTAATGAACAATAACGTTTGTAATTTAATTAATTACTTACAGTAATCTATAATGCTTCGTGTTGATCTCTACTATGACGTTCATATTCATTTGCACGACACTGTACGACAACTTCTCTTGTAGAAATAAACATGTGAACTGAATTACAACTTCGAAAAGAATTCAAATTTAAATTACATAGCAGCAGTGATACCAATGACAAAAACAGAAAAAAATATTCCAAAGAGCGTAAACATGGCCTCGCGGTGTAATCACGCTATTCAGCGAGTTTTAGCAAAATTAGAAGCATCCATAAATTCGGAAAATTATTATGAAGCTCATCAAATGTATAGAACTTTGTACTTCAGGTGGGCCAGCAACGTAATTAATCAACATCGTCAAAGAATCATTTTTATACAATCGTCGATATGATTGCTTAACCTCTTCTTCCAGATATCTCGGCCAGAAAAAATATTCGGAACTTTTGGAATTACTATACAATGGTTCTACTCTTTTATTACAACACGAGCAAGTACGTAATCTATTCTGTTTATTCTATTTTCCATTTTCATTGATTTCGCAAACACGTGAAGAGAATTATTTTTCAAATAACGTCATAATACACCTTATTAAGTATTATTTACAAATTTTTTTTCTCAAACAGTCTATAATCAAATTCTATTGTCAGTTTATAATCAAGTTCTATTATCATTAATGTCTGTTACACTGAAATATATTTTTCTAAGTAAAAAATAGAAATACTCTAGATTATTCTAAAATATTTCAATACACGTTACATGAAATTACGTTCAATTGAAAATAGTATGTAACATTGAATTACATATAGCATATTTGTAATTATTTGTTTATATTGATAAAAGAATATTGATAAATTATTATATTATTATATTATTATTTTTTATTACTTGTAGCATGCAAGTGGAGCTGACTTAGGAATTTTATTTGTAAATGTTTTAACACAATCAGGAACAGAACCTTCTCAAGATTATTTTGAAAAAATTACAAGCTTGTTCAGTTTAATGAGCCCTGCATCACCTGAAAGAGATGTATTTGTACAATCTGCTCTTAGATGGAGTATAAAGGGTACAGAATATAAAACAGGTCATCCAGATTTACATCAAAAAATAGCACAAGTATTTTGGAGAGGTAAATTTAGACAATAAGTATCTTAAATGTTATTATTATTCAAATTCAATCAATATGTTATAAATTTTTGTAGAAAAAAATTATGTAATGGCAAGACAGCATTTCATATATAGTAGAGATGGTTCTGGATGTGCTGCAATGCTTGTTGAGCTCCATGAACAACGTGGTTACAAAAATGAAATAGATCTTTTTATAGCCCAAGCAGTTTTGCAGTAAGTATGCATCTTGTTAATTTGAACATCTACAAAAAATATTTAAGATACTTGAAAATAAACCAAGTAATTTTATTGATATATTTTCAGATATCTCTGTTTACAAAATAAAACAACTGCTCAGGAAGTTTTCAATTCTTATACATCGCAACATCCAAAAATAAACAGTGGTCCACCATATCTTCTTCCTTTATTGAATTTTTTATTTTTTTTATTGAAAATAGTTGACAGGTGAGTATGAATTTTAACTTGTTCATTCAATAGATAAAAATTTAATTTGCGATATATATATATATATATACATATATATATCTGCATTTCATATTTTTCAGTGGTAAATTCGCTGTGTTCACAGTACTTTGTGAACAATATCGAATATCTTTAAATAGAGATCCGTGTTATCGACAGTACTTAGACAAAATAGGACAATTATTTTTTAATGTTCCATCCCCACGTCCTCGTAATCAGGGATTATTTGGTACACTTTTACAATCTTTTTTTAATGGTCTTGAAGATGAAGGTTCAGATGATGAACAGAGAAACACAGCTTCAACTTCACAAACAGCACAAGAGCTTGACTGATTAAAAGTTACACGTCACTGTGCAATGTGATGAAAGTAAAA